TGACTACGCTGCCTTCTCCTGTGATTTGACCCAGATTGCCCTGACTACGCTGCCTTCTCCTGTACCTTGACCTGGATTGCCCTGACTACTCTGCCTTCTCCTATTCTGACCCCCGGTTTGTCTGACCATTCTGTGGACTGACTTATCCTGCTGACCCTGCGTGTGACCTGACTACTCTTCGCCTGCCGATTCGGTACCTCGCTTACATCCCACGGGACCTCTTCACATCTGGCTCTCCCGGTACCTGCATACATCCCCGGAGGCTTCCTCTGCCACTGGTGGGCCTGCTCGGAGGTCGTGACCTGGCCCTGGTCTGTTACAAGTCCATCCCCACCATCAGGGGCCCTGGTGAAAGCACAGACCGGGCTTAGACTCCACGCTCTGGGTAGGTCTGTCCAGTGGGCAGCCTGAGGCACCACCTGGCGGATCCTAACATGCGCTCTCTCGCATTTTCGAGGATCCAAAAGAATCTCCAGAGCCAGACACCATCCTGCCTGCAGGGAATTTTTTATTATTACAGTCCGAACTCTTGTCCAAGTTACAAACGGCATCTGTAGGAATGCCCAGTCCACCCGGAGTTTCAGTGCAGAGCAGAGAAAGACTGTTATAGAAAGGGGAGCAGATCCTGGTACCCGAGGAAGCTCGAACTCTGGTCCTGGGCTACTGCCACAATCACCCTTTGGCGGGTCACTTTGGGGTGTTCAAGACATTAGAGCTGGTACAGCGCACGTTCTGGTGGCCGAATATGGCTAAGGACTGCAAGGCATATATGAGAACCTGCACCGTCTGTAATAGGAATAAGCCCACCAGAAACAAGGCTTGGGGCCTACTACGACCCTTGCCAGTACCTGATAGACCGTGGAGAATGATATCCATACTGCTATCTTCATGGTGGTAGATCGCCTATCAAAGATGGCCCACTTCCTACCATTAAGAAATACACCTTCTGCTCCGGAGACTGCAAAAATCTTTATTAACCTCCTTAGCGGTATTCCCGAGTGTAGCTCAGGGTAAAATGTCAGTACCAAAAGCGGTAACCCGAGCTACACTTGGGCTTACCATGCGGCGTTGCTCAGGGAGTCCCTGCAGCACTTACCTTGTCCTTCGCTCCCATGATGTGTCCCCTGCAGAGTCCCCGGCCATCTCCTCCGGCCGATGCCGGCATCCGGCTTCCGTGTTCCGGTCCCTGTGATGTCGGGACGTACAGGAGCCGGAACCGGCGGCAAATTTGAAATTTTTAAAAAATGCTGTTTCAATGCATTTCACATACATTTTGTCCTTACTGCTTTGTCCTGTGCCCTGCCTGCATTTTGACTGTTCTTTCTGCCTGGAAACTTAGAAAAGTCCATGGCGTCCAAAAAGCGTCCCTTTACATCAAAAGCGGTTTTAGACCAGCTAGAGAACAGCGATAGTAAATCAGAACCACTTGCAGAATTGAGTGATAATGATTCGTGAGGAAATTCGTCATCAGACACTGAAAACGATTTTGCGAATTTGCTCAGCGATGTGCGAATTTGCCTTTGTATTTCAAATTTCAGTGTTTTTGGTTTGATTATATTATTGAATTAAATTTATTATTATATTATTATTTTTTATGATTATTTATTAAATTATCATTTATGATTTCTTGTTTCAAATTTTATCATACCCGGGATGTTTATTAGACTCTTGTTCGTACAGATTTCAGTGAGTTATTCCTAAAAATTACAGCCTACAATAAAAAAACTACATATTTCCATGCAAAAAAATGGTACCGCTTTCAGCACAAAAAATCGGAAATAATCAGACCGCCGAGGAGGTTAAAGAAATTGTAAGGCTCCATGGTGTGCCTAAAGATATTGTCTCTGACCGAGGGGTTCAATTCACTTCGACGTTCTGGAAGGCATTGTGCGAGACGTTGGAAATCAAGTTGTCCTTTTCCTCTGCGTACCACCCACAAACAAATGGGCAGACCGAACTGACTAATCAAACCCTAGAACAGTACCTCAGGTGTTATACTTCTTTTCTCCAGGATGACTGGCTGGCACTCTTGCCCTTAGCACAATTTGCCTACAACAATGCGAGTCATTCCACCACTAAGCAATCTCCGTTTTTTGCCAATTACGGGTTCCATCCTACCTTCCTACCTGATCCCGGAGATTTCGGTTCCTGCTGCTCAGGATACAATGAAATTTTTTTCATCCAATAACAAGGTGTTGCAGGAGGCAGTTGCAAAGGCTCAGGAAGAGGGCCTTTGCTAGAAAGAGAAGAGGGGAGTTGATCTTGCACCCAGGAGACCAAGTCTGGTTGGCAACAACTAACCTGAAGATGGCGTGTCCATCAAGGAAATTGGCACCCAAGTTTGTGGGCCCATTCCGGGTAAGACGCAAGATTAATGATGTTGCTTATGAGCTAGCGCTCCCTGAATCCTTGAAAATACACCCAGTTTTTCACGTGTCTTTACTGAAGCCTGCAGCACCAGATCACTTTCCTGATCGTAGGTTAAGACCCCCGGAGGCCATAGACATTGATGGGGAGGAGGAATTTGAGGTCAAGGAGGAGGAAGGAGAGGTCAGACGCAGTACCTCATTAAGTGGAAGGGTTATGGCCCGGAGGAAAATTCTTGGGAACCAGCTCAGAATGTCCATGCTACGAGACTAATTCGGGAATTTTTTCGTAACCATCCACAAAAGAGGAGTCAGTTGGGCACCGGAGGCTGCCCATAAGGGGGGGGCAATGTCAGGTAACGAGACAATCGCCGCGGCGCACAAATCTGCACATGCGTAGGATCCCGACAAGACGTACAGGCAGGCGGGCACTAGGACCCAGGCGCGCCTGTCACCAATGACGCACCAGGCAGGCACAAGGACCCAGGCACGCCTGTTGGCATCGGGCGGGCTATTTAAACCGGCTCTTGCAATGCTCACATTGCCGTTTGGTCTTGTTCCTGTTTATCCTGTTCCTGTGAGAGATGTTGCCAAACCCTGCCTGATCCTGATTACTGCTGACCATCTCCTGCCCTGGCTCCTGGCTCGTTTTGACCATTCTTCTGCCTGTCCCTGATTATCTGATCTCCTGATGCTGAACCTGGCTTGTGACCTGATGATTCTCTGCCTGCTGCTCTGTTCCGTTCTGCCTCCATTGATACCGACCCGGCCTGTCTGACTCTGCTACTGTTCACAGTGTGTTCTGTCCATCCATCTTGCACGGATCCATCCGTTACTGTCAAGGCCTGCTCAGCCTCCTCACATCAGGCTCTTATCCAGCTACGTGCCACTGGCAGTTTTCTCTACTACAGCTGGGTGTACCCGGGGCCGCGACCTGGTCTCAGCCTGCTCTAAGTCCATCCCCATCATCAGGGGCTCTGGTGAACAAGCAGACTGGGGCTTAGACTCTGCGCCCTGGGGAATCCCGGTCTGTGGATCCATAGAGCAACGGTCAGTAGGTACGTGACACATGCATGATAGATGCAATGTGTCTGCTCCAATGCTGTTTCTTCTCAGCAGAAATAGTTACAAGCATATCTAGGAGGGGTGCGATTAAATCATTCTGAGGATCCGCTTGAGGGTAGTAGGGTGTTGTTCTTGACTTCTGCATACCTAAAAAGGTTAAACAGTCTCTTACGGAGTCTACTCTCAAAGTCTCTTCCTTGGTCAGATTGAATGTGTTGAGGTAGGCTGTAGGTGACACAGAACATTTCTACCAGAACTTTGGCCACTGTAGATGCTTGCTGATCTTTGGGAATGCTTGGGCACAACTGGTGAAGTAATCGGTTACAACTAAGACATTGCCCTATCCGCTCGTGTCAGGCTCCAGACACAGAAAGTCATTGCACACCAATCCACTGATCCTTGGCTTTGAAGATGGCCCATTGCGGCGGCTGGCTGAGTAAAGTCTTCCTCTGTTCATTGTATGCAACCTCATCTTGCATACAGGGCCAATAGAAACATTCTCTCACTAATTTGAACATTCTTTCAGGCCCTAAGTGACCATGATTGTCATGTAAGGTGGTCAACACAGTCTCTCTGTGCTTTCTTGACAAAAATATCTGCCACTTACCTTTGGGATCATCCCAGGGGCCCCTTCAGTAGACCACCCGTTGCAGAACTGCAATCGATCCCATTCTTTGTATACCAGGCGTGCTTCCTTTAAGGAGTCTTTCAGCAGCAGATCTGGACATTGACCTTCCAGTTCCTTTAATGTTACAGTACATAGGGGGTCCTCCATCTGGTCTTTCCTTAAGTTTTTCTTTGCAAACTTAGGCAGGCCTTCGTCCCTTAGTTGGGAAAGGTCACAGTAATAATTGGGAACACCTGCCACTGAGACTTCAATGGCTTCAGCCCCTGTTGCACCTCTGGCTCGATACTCTGCTCCTTGACAAAAAGCTTGTATCCCTTCATGTGTTAGTTAAGTCAACTCTTCAGAGGCAGCCCCCGACCATAGGTTCTCCTCGACAGGACTTCTCAGTGAGTGTAAGACTTCTGCTCACATAAGAAACAGTCCTCAGGTGTCAATCGTGCTCTTGATACAACACCACACCTAACCCATCTCGACTGGCATCGACATGCAGTGCATACGGTTTGGTTGGGTCAGCATAAGCTAGTACAGGAGCAGGCATTAGGCTCCATTTCAGCTGACAGAAAGCTTGCTCACACCAGTCAGTCCACTGGTCTTGGATTGACTCCTGAGGCTTCCTGGGTCCTCCAGTTTGTTTGACTGGTTTTGGTGAATCTGGGTCATCGTCATTAATTGAACTAAATGGACTGGTGTCTTTTTTCAACAGACTATGTAACTATGTCATCATCCTCATTTAGAGATGAGCGAATTATTCAAAAATTCGATTCGGCTGATTCGCCGAATTTGCGGAATAAATTCGGTTCGATGCGAATTTATTCGCTGCGAATTTAACTTATTAAAAGGGTTTCTAGGCTTCAGAGAGCCTTTTATATTAGTGCAGAACACTGTACCTTTAATTTAAATGCCCTTGGAGTCTGCTGGGGAAGAGAAATAATACTGTCAGTCAGTATGACATGCAGATGAGTGCCGTCGATCTTAGAATCACCGCACACTTCACTCATTTGGGCAGTCACGGGGCCAAAACCAGAGTGTGGAGCCACAGTGTGGCGGTGGAGGCAGCAGCAATGGGAGGCCATACAGCACCCTATGACAAAATGGAACCCACCAGCAGTGTGAGGAGACCTGAAAGTGGCACATGGCAGAGTGTGTGGCGATGGAGACAGCAGCAATGGGAGGCCGTTCAGGGACCCATGACACACTCTGGACCTGGCAGCAGCATGAGGAGGCGGTACAGGGGCCCATGACAGATTACGGGCCTGGCAGCAGCATGAGGGGTCGGTAACGGGGGCCCATGGCAGATTTACGGGCCTGGCAGCAGCAAGAGGAGGCGGTACAGGGGCCCATGGCAGAGTGGCGAAGCGTAAGCAGCTTAAATTGAAGGCCATACAGAGGCCTATGTTAAAAAGTCCCCCCAGCAGCAGTGTGGGGAGACGACTATCAAGAGTCCAATGGCAGAGTGGCGGAGCAGAAGCAGCTTCAATTGAAGAAGAAGAGGATGAGGATGAGGATGAAGAAGAAGAAGAAGAACAAGAGGATGAGGATGAAGAAGAAGAAGATGAGGATGAAGAAGAAGAGGATGAGGATGAAGAAGAAGAAGAAGAGGATGAGGAGAAAAGAAGAAGAAGAAGAAGAAGAAGAAGAAGAGGATGAGGATGAAGAAGAAGAGGATGAGGATGAAGATGAAGAAGAAGATGAGGATGAAGAAGAAGAGGATGAGGATGAAGAAGAAGAAGAGGATGAGGATGAGGATGAGGAAGAAGAAGAAGAAGAAGAAGAACAAGAAGAGGATGAGGGTGAAGAAGAAGAAGAGGAAGAAGAAGAAGAAGAGGATGAGGAAGAAGAAGAAGAAGAGGATGAGGAAGAAGAAGAAGAAGAGGATGAGGAAGAAGAAGAAGAAGAGGATGAGGAAGAAGAAGAAGAAGAGGATGAGGAAGAAGAAGAAAGAAGAAGAGGATGAGGAGGAAGAAGAAGAAGAAGAGGATGAGGAAGAAGAAGAAGAAGAAGATGAGGATGAGGAAGAAGAAGAAGAAGAAGATGAGGATGAAGAAGAAGAAGAAGAAGAAGAAGAAGAGGATGAGGATGAAGAAGAAGAAGAGGATGAGGAAGAAGAAGAGGAGGATGAGGATGAAGAAGAGGAAGAAGAAGAAGAAGAAGAGGAAGAAGAAGAAGAAGAAGAGGATGAAGAAGAAGAAGAAGAGGATGAAGAAGAAGAAGAAGAAGAAGAGGATGAAGAAGAAGAAGAAGAAGAAGAGGATGAAGAAGAAGAAGAAGAAGAAGAAGAGGATGAAGAAGAAGAAGAAGAAGAAGAAGAGGGATGAAGAAGAAGAAGAAGAAGAAGAAGAGGATGAAGAAGAAGAAGAAGAAGAAGAAGAGGATGAAGAAGAAGAAGAAGAAGAAGAGGATGAGGATGATGAAGAAGAAGAAGAGGATGAGGATGAAGAAGAAGAAGAAGAGGATGAAGAAGAAGAAGAAGATGAGGATGAAGAAGAAGAAGAAGATGAGGATGAGGATGAGGATGAAGAAGAAGAAGAGGAAGAGGATGAGGATGAAGAAGAAGAAGAGGAAGAGGATGAAGAGGATGAGGATGAGGATGAAGAGGATGAAGAGGATGAGGATGAGGATGAAGAACGAAAGAAGAAGAAGTAGGATGAAAATAAGAAGAATTCCATTCCAGCAAAAGGTGTATCTGCAGAGAGCTCCGCTATTTCTGACAGTTCTCTGACAGTTCCTTCACATTTACAGTGGTTGAAACATTGTATCTATTTGTTTCCGAATAAAAACATCTGTATCCTAAATGGAAAACAAATAGATACAATGTTTCAACCGCTGTAAATGTGAAGGAACTGTCAGAGAACTGTCAGAAATAGCGGAGCTCTCTGCAGGGACACTTTTTGCCGGCTGTAGAAGGGATGAAAATCGGCCGATCGGGGAAAATTCGATTCGTGCATCCGAAGTTTGCTAATTTTCGGATTCGGCGCGAATCGAATTTTTCCTAATATTCGAAACGAATTCCACTTTGCCAAGTTCGATTCGCTCATCTCTATCCTCATTCTTCAACAACCTATTTTAGCAAATCCCTCAACAAACCTTCTGTAGTATGAGTAAAACCCCAAGAATGACCTAAGCTAAATCATATTGGTAGGTCCTGGGCAGGAGGTGAAAGCTTCCAGCTTTTGGGGGGTCAGTAGCCACTCCTTCAGCGGAGACAACATGCCTAAGATAATTAACTGAAGGCTGGTAAAATGGACACTTTTCTAGAGACAATTTCAGCCCCTCATCATGGAGTCTTCAGGATCTTCTGCAGATGCTCTTCATGTTCTTCAAGGGTATTGCCAAAGATAATGATATTGTCCAGGTACACCAGCACTTCAATCAGGTTCCAACTGTCTTCTCCATCAATCTTGGGAATGTTGCTGGAGCACTGGACAAAACTTGAGGCATCATTGTGAGCTTGTGAACTTGAAGAACCCTAATGGGGTGATAAAATCTTCTGGGATAACCTCCACTCCTCTTACTTCTGGGATCACCTCCGCTCCTGTGTCCTCTCCCGAGAGTAAGATTGAATTTGAATGAAGCTGGTAAGCATACCGCCTCTCCAGGCTGTAGTATGTTCAAGCTTCTGTCTATTCACCATATCCTTCCCACTCCTTTGGTTGGGGCTTTCTGTTACTGAACTATGCGCTGACACACTTGTCACAGCATTGGGCGTATGCCCTCCATAGGGATGTCATGTCTTGGGACAAGAAGAATGAGTAGTCGGCTGACAAGGTCAATGTTGGTCCCTAGGATCAGGGAACTCTTGTTGGCTCCTGGGGCGAGGGCATACAATAGCTAGTATAGCGAATGTCTGACTGCACAGCCACAGAAGGGTCAAAGGTCAAGCTTGATTGGTAAGTAGCCAAATTCTGGGTTCCAAAGTCCCATACTGTATTTCTAATTCATCCAATCTCTGTAGGGGTAGATGTTTGAGGTGTCTGTCATAAAAATCTCAGTATAGTAGAGCCACTTGTTCCCCTGTGTCCAGAAGGGGCTTTGCATAGATGTCTTCCACTTGGATTGGCACGATGGTAGAAGGTTCCATGAACTTAGCAGGGAATTTGTAAGGAGTATTGGGGTTGGCCAGTCCTGTTGTCTGTATCCGTGCCCCACTTTTGATGGGTTTCTGGTTTTGTTTGTGTCTTAGTTGGGCCCCAGAGGGCAGGTATGCACTAACTTTCCAAGGACGGAAACCCGAGGTGGATGTCAGTGAGTTGCACAGTCACTCAGAAGCAACAGTGGGGGCCCTCTGCAAGGGTTTAGGCTTCCACGCTGGCCCCTTTGCATCTTTGACTATATACAATGCATACGATATGGCTGTTGTAGATGGACACCCAGTTTTTCCTTCACTGGGGTCTTCTGAGGTTTCTTACTGACTTTTGAGCACCGACTTTAGCGGAGTTGCATCAGTAATGACCCACTCCTCCACAGTTAAAGCAGACTGCTTGACTCTGAGACATTCTTGCCAGGTGAAGTGACGATCCTGACTGTCAGCAACATTATCATCTCCATCATTTGTGACAACTGGGTTTTCAATTTCTGGGTCACCTCTTGCTGCACTAACCACTTTGAACTCAGTGACAGATTCTGATTTCAGGCTTCTCCTTTTACTTTCCAACATGGCTTCTTCCTCCTACACTGGATCATGATAGGATCTAAGGGCTGAGCTCCCCTTAAAACCTGTGGTGCTTGGACCTTGGCGACTAACCTGGGATCTATACCTTTGTTTAGCAATATTTGATACATCATCTTGTCAAGAGAACTCATGTATTCAGTTTCTCCTGAACATGTCTTGCAGGATACCTAAGCAGTCATAAGCAGTACAGTCCTGTTTGCCAAGTTTCAGGTTGTGAATAGCTTCTGAGACAGGCCCCCCTAAACTCTTTGTTGGTCATTGTTTATTTTTTTGGGCCTCAGGAATATCCTATTCATCTAAGGGCTGCATGGCTTGCTGAAGCCATTCTTCAAAACTCTTCACTGGAAGGCACTGGCTGTTTTCTGGAAAGGGTTCCCAGTTTTTGCTATCCAGACCCAGTGTATGTTTGATTACTCTTCTGCCGCAAACTTTCCCAAGGCGGCAATGATTTCGAGCCCTATCTTGGCTATAGGCACCGGTAGGGTGGCTTCCTCTGTTGGAGCTGCTTGACTCAAACTTTCTGAGCTGATGCCTGGTACACTCAGCTAGACCAGGTTGGCCTCAACTTGACAGGTAGTTGTAGACTAGTCCCTCTGAAGCAGGCAGGGATCTCCCCTCTCCACTCTAGTAAGACATAAGTACGAGAAGTCCCTTGTTCTGGGTTCAAGTCTACCATGCACACCTTCTGATCAGCTCACCTCAGTCCAGGCTACTCCAGGGATGTCGAGCACCATACTTGATTCCCAGCGGCCATTTTCCTCTTCACACCACATAATCCATCTCGGTGGTCTTTGGCGTGTTGTTTTGGTGATTTTCTTGTAGAACAAAGGTATGCCGGACAAGCCACCCATGTGTAGCAGCCCCCCCCAAAGGAGCCACTTGGTAACTGTGGGTTATCTGTTCTGTGCCTTGCCTCCAAGAACAACCCCGGCCCCTCAGATACACCTGGTTGAGTCTAAAATACCTTTAACCTCGCTGTGGGCTACTACCAGTAAATAGACTCACACCTGTTTAGTGATAACTGCCCTTAGTCTATTGATACTGGCTGGAATAAATGTCAAATTGAACATAAATGAACACACAGCTGATAGATTATGACATAGTCTACTAGACAGAGAAATAACTATGTCAAATTTTGTCAAAAATTTGATTTTATACCCCTAAATAGGATCATAAGGGTAAGTTAGTAAGCCACCAATAAATAATATTAGTAAACGTTAAATGCAGTATAAATTATGATATCATTACATTAGTTTAGAGTGCACACAAAGGGATTAGCTGGGAATCAGCATCTCTTAAGAGGTATCGCTTTAAATAAAAATATTTTTAAAAAAAACAAACAAAAAAGCAAGGCCTCAGGGCAGCAACTATTAGGGGCAGTCTTTAGATCCGACTCTTCAACTAAATGCTGGGGCCCATTGGAGCGCGTTAAGGCCATAAATAAGGCCTGCAGTCAGTATTAGGGCTGAGGGTTAGCTGGTAGGTAGTTCCCAATGGCTCAGTTTCTAACAGTGGTAACAAGTAGTGACTACAAGGCCCTCTCACCAGACCCAGCAACACAGCAGCAGATACCAATCTGGTATCTGCTCACTCTGGGTTCCCCATGACGACTCTTGTAGATAGCTTCATCCCTCACTACTTGGGTCATGTTCTGTACCCTCTGGCTGTCCCAAACATTGCTGTTGGCTCCGTTGACCAGGCTCTCTCTCTCAGGTAGAGTTTTATTGACACGACCCTATCACACTCCTGTCACATCATTC